TTATAATGAGAACTTTAATTTGATCAATAATATGTTGATTAGTAATACTGAATCAGTGAAATATTGACAATACACATCATATTTCTACAATCTTACACAATCAGTGTATTGTAATATTTCAATTCATTTCTATATACATTATGAATTTTATACGGTCAATAATACCGGCAATACTAACAAGTACTGTCCACAAAAAAATACTATACGCAAGTAACAATTACTTGTGTTTCAAGTATCTTAAAAGTTCATATATTCGCAAATCTATCACAAGTTCATCACAAGCATCAAATTTATTCAAAATATATTCTGAATCCTAGTAAGTTTAATACTTCAATCGAAATTATTAAATTAAAACAAATTTGCTTATTATAAAGATTTATAAAGATTTATAAAGATCTTCCGAAGAAGAAAGTAAATGAGTAATCAATTTTTTTTTACAATAAAATGATATTTTTGTGCAATAATATTATTCACAGTAATCCAAATTTCGTAATTTTTCAGTTCAAAAATGAAGAAATCCAGCTCACTGTCAATAATCTATTATCAATCCATCAATATATAATCGCACACGATCAATATTGTCAGTATAATTGTTGATTCTGACAACATTATTGAAATATGAGATTCCTATAATGATTCTTGAACAATAATTCTTACATAACAGACTGCCTAGTAGACATAAACGCGATAACGTTGCATCGACGTGTCGTCCAAGACCTTTACGTCAAAGAGCAAGGGGGATTGTTTAACTGTTAAAGTAAACCGTTAAACTGAACTTCCGCTTTGCTTCGTAAACCTAATTTCACTCATATCAGCTGGGCGACGATTTTTCGCTGGAAGACGCTCGTCAGACGTTTTACTCGCGCGTGGCGATAAAGTTTCGAGCGGGCAGGTACAAGGACGGGTTTATCTCGCGCGATCGTAGCGCGAGATCGCTTTATTTGCCTTTCCACGCCCATTGACATCAATTTAAAGCAAGCCAACGCGCTGCGGAGGGAGCCCTCGCGATTATTGTCGCGTCGGATACTGTCGAGTACCCTTCGCTCTCCGGCACTCGTATCACAGGGTGGCGTAAAGTAATTAATTTAAAAAAAAAAAGGGGGGAGAGGGAGAAACATCCAGAAAACGCGTTTCCATTCTCCGTGGCGTGTTGACACGTTGACCGGTATTCGTAGTCAATTCTTGTTTCAAGACCGTCTTAAGTAATGACGCTAAGTCTGGATCTACAATAGATGTTTTAAGCCTCAAGCCGGAAGAAATTGACCAATTGTAGACGAATGCGAGGAGAATAATTGATTGTGATTCGTCCATTCCTTATGGTTTAAGGCTTAAAAATCTATTGTAGATCCGAGTTAATGCGGCTCTCCGATTGGTTCGTGAAACCTCAAGGCTGAACTTAAGACGGTCTCGAATATAAGATCTGATTATGAATACCGACCAACTATGATAGCACTAGAAACCTTATAACTGCAGATGATACTTTCCAAAAAAAGACAGTACAAGGGCGGAGCACAGAATCTTACATAACGTACAATGCATTAAAAAAATTAACCAATCAAAGTCCTTCGTTTCCTTCCTTTCTATGGTGTATAAGTCTGACTAATTGATTTTTTTATATCTTAAGCCTATTTTACAATTGCGTAAGCGTAATTGTAGCGAGTGGTTGTAAAAATTGACCAACCAGTCGTATACTTTTCCAGTATTCGATCATTGATGAATTTTTACAACTGCAATCACTTACTATGCTTACACAATTGTAGATTTTCATGCATAACGCATAATGCATAATACATAAGAAAATTAATCAATCAAAGTCTTTTGTTTCTTTCCTTTCCATGAAATAAAATACTATGATAAATTTTTTTATGCATTATGTAAGAGTCTTTACTCCTACCTTAACACACAGTGATCATTTCATCTTTGACGTTGCAATTAATAAGAATGTAATGATTCACTGTGTTACTCTGTCATCTGTCTCTCCCTGGAATGCATCCAGAATCTGGCAATGAGATGACAAATTTTTGATTGGCACGTCGTTTTTGTCAACTTCAATAAGTCAGAATGAATAAGACGAATAATATAAAGAGACGTAAAAGACGAAGAGTGTATGTGTGTGTATATATATGTATATATTTATATATATATATATACATATATATATATATTCTTCTTTCTCATTCTTGTTTTGACAAAATTGCTCCTAGCCGGATTTTGTTACCGGTTACAGGATCTCTAGTTCGCACAAGCACGGGCGCCGAGTTAGTTACGTTTAGCTACGTTCGATTCCACTCCTCGGCGCTCGATGGAAGCGCGTTCAATGGAAGCGCCGGGAAATTGGGTCACCGGCAGATAGGTCGTCTTGTGACAGGTGAACAAAACCGTTGGCAGCAAGGAGGGACGAATGGACGAATGGCCGGATGGCGGAGAGAAGTCGATGAAGTGGGAGAGATACGGGCGGAAATTAAAGTCGACCGGCGGCGACCTCGCGTCGAGAGAGATATGGGCCGCGAAAAAGCCGATCGAAGCCAATCGAGAGAGGTTTCGCGAATCGACGACGCCCCGCGTGAGATATCGTCACGGGGGATCAAAATCTAGACGAACGGCGAACACCGCGAGAGAAATCGAGGAATTGACGAAGGCGGGAGGGTGGGTGGCGATGATTCAATGAGATAAATACAGTGGTACACGCTCGACGACGACGACGAAGCAATCGATGCCGGTAGGGCCCCATGGTCTCCGTGGGCGACACGGCGATGACGACGCCGCTGCCACCGCCGCCACCGTCGTCGCGACGCGATATCTGTACGATCATTATTGACAGCGCGACTCACCGTCGCGACGCACCGGCACCGATGGGCCATAGTACTATCTGGTGTACTACTGTATACGGAGAAAGAGAAGAAAGAGAGAGAGAAGAAAGAGAGAGAGAGAAAGAGAGAGAGAGAGAGAGAAACCGAGGCGGCGCACGCCATTTTTATCCCGACACCAATATCCACCCGTCACCGAGTGAGTCGAGGCGGCGGCGGCGACTCCGAAGCTATTCCTTCGCGTTTCCATTGAAACGCCGGATGGCCGAGAAAGACTTATACAACGTCGGGTTTACTTACCCTCGCGTAAGGACACCCCGCGGCACCGTTCCGCCACGCAACTCGCATAAAAGTCCCCGGTCCGGTGCACCAAAATACCACCAAATTACGATCCAACACCGATCCACCCGTCCACACACTCGACCGGCGCGCAACCGACTGAGCGGCGCGTAGCGCGCACCTACGCCACCGCAGCTAGTCCCTTCGCGCAAAAAGTGGCTGAAAGTGGCGCTTCGCCAAATCGTCGCGCGCGCTGACCCGGTCGACGCGGAAAATTGGAAAAGGCAAAGCGCGCGCGCGTCTATCCGCTGGTTTCACCCCGACCGAATCTCGCCCAAATTCCGAATATCGGTCCGAAGAACTGAACTGGGACTCCGGAACGTACGCGGGGATTTGTGGGGAATTGGTACAGTACGCGATGTCAAACGTACCAACACTCGATATCGGACGTCACTTATGTCGCACTGTACACGTAACACGTCGCACACATCCAAGATAAAATGGTCCCTTATACCTGTTTATATTACATATTATAGAGTTTAATTTTAATCAACTAACTCTTCATCTTTTTCTAGTCATAAAAATTAGAAAAAATGAATAAAGTAAATCGAGATTAAATAAATTAATCTACGTTGATAGAAAGTTAGATCAGAAAAATTTAATAAATATGATCTCGTTGTAAGTATTAAATCGGTTAATGATTATTTATTTATTTTGAAAATTAAATCATTGTTGTTAGTGCTTTTATAGGTAAGTAATTAATTACTTAATTACTTAATTTAAGACTTACAGTATTAAATTTGTCTAAGGTGCGTCTCGGTTATCGGAAAGAAAAGATCGATAAGTTCAGCTATGAAATAAAGTATAAAACGAAATGAAGTATATCGAATAAAACGCCATTTGAATATGCGATATAAGATTCTTTGAGTGAGCAAATCGATATAATACTATTTTCAAGAAAGCTTTCTTTAAAAAAACAAAACTTTTCAAAGATATTTTTGTTTTCGAATATTCGATTCTACAAAATCATAGTTTGACGTTTTAATTTATAAATGCAACGTCAAGACAGAGTTCAACTTTTAAAACAAGATATTTGTCTTTATTTTTTTACAAATAACGCAATGTTAAATACGCTTGCAAAATTTTGAACAACAAAGAATATTCTCTTTGGAATGACGTCTTAAAAAAAAAAACAAATTTACAAATTTCTCATGATGCAAATTATATATAAAATGAATATATAAATATATTAAATATGAAAATAAATAAAATTGATATAAATAAGATTTTCAACTAAACAAATCAATCTTCGAAGACATGGTATAGGATCATGCCTTGAACAATTGCGAGCATTCTCATCTGTACTGTACCTGTCTCTCGGCCGTTTTACGCCGGCCGGCGTAGGAATACACGATCGCTTATGACATCATCAATCCGTATTCTGGACCGCGGTCACGCCCCATCCTCCACACTGCACTCCTTAGAGCTTTAACTCTTTTTTTCCTCCCCCGTGATTATGTAAATAGATACTATGTTCATTATCGCATGGTAAAAATTCCGCGATCGCGAAGAAGCCACCACTGATTTTTAGCTTCGCAAACTTCGATTTCGAATGTCACGCGGGCGTGCATTGTGTAGCCAATCGTGCCTCGGCATCAAAATACAGAGAAATTCAAATAGCTGAGAACGTGATTGTACTCTTAGTTTGTAATTTTTCAAATTTTATTTCACGTTGGACCACTTCGATTATTACTGCAAAGATTTCGATCGGTAAAATATATCTTACGTATTCTACATAATTAATATTTTTTTCGTTTACATTTCTCTTTTATGGGATGTAATAACAAGCACATCACAAAAAAAAAGAAAGAAATTGTAGTAATCGACTTAATAAATTTCCTACGAAAAGTGGTTTTACTATTAATTTTTAATACGACTGTAGAGTGGATAATTTTTTAGTTTTGCGTAACAATACATATATCGGAATTTCATGTATGCGAAATTCATATATATAAAATGCGTACGTTTGATATATACAATCTTAAACTTATGTGACTTATGTATAATCTTGCAACTCCGCCTTTATCCCTTGCGGTCTTGACAAGAGTAATGCACTATATCACCATTGGGATATCTCGCAAAAGCGCTAAGGAAACAGAACTGATTAGTATTATAAATGATTTATGTCAATTTATGAGACCCTTATTCTATAATTCTTTAACAGTATCATTGCAATATCAATGTGTATGTTTTATATATGTTATGGTAAGCAAACTATGCAATAATAATGTAACGATACAGACGTTGTCGTTAAAAATTACAGAATAGGGGCTTTAAATATATACGTGCGATAAATACTTTAAATACTTTAAATAATAAGACACATATACGAACCTTTGGTTACCAAATCGTTTTTTACAAACTGGACATATATTAAATTCTGTCATGAGGACACTCTGTGATTCGTAATGCATTCGTTGCTCCTGCACTTGTAAATGTTCCGCGTAAAGCAGCCCTTTGAGAACTTGCGTTCTCCGCCTTGCGTTTAAGTTATTCTGTAAGCTAACTTCCAGGAAATGTTTTATTCTACCAATAGGAACGGAATCTGGTAACACCTCCAGGACTTTCATAGGATTTATCTTCGAGGCGTGCTCCTCTAACAATCGAAGAGCCATTTCTAAATCTGGTTGCGTCGTTCTTTGAATTTCCAGATTACAACCTTAAAGAGTAAAAATAATTATATATACGTGACATTATATCAAATAAATTTTGTTTATGTCACTACTTACCAGCCATCAAAACTCCTTCATTGTCGGGTTTCAATAACTGCTGAATTAGCAAAACGTATACTTCGTCAGCATTATCCGTCTGCTTTGGTTTTTCCAATGTACGGTCTTGATCTTAAAGTATATAATATGCAAATAATTATATATTACTTTTATACGATTAATACTGAATATTTTAAAATCCACTTACTTTGATACCTTGTATATACATTTTGGCAATATTGTATTGCGCGTGGTATATCATTTAAAAGGCTTATGTATATCGATATGGCTTGCTGATGACGACCGAGTCGTCCAAGTATAATTGCACGTTCTTCGAACAAACTGTCAAATGGAAAATGCACTAATATTGTTTCCGGTGTATAATGCATCGATTTCTCTAGAAATTGTTGTAATTTCTGTCGAATGTGTTGCGAAATTTCTTTCTCCGCTGGCGTTGCATTTGCATTCATAGAAGCTAAACACTTTTCTTTGTACTGATGTATCAAAACATTATGGAATAACGGATTGGTGTCTTCCCAAACATGTACTACATGTTCCAAGTATTGTATCACTAAGTCTTTGTGAAAACGTAGGAGGTAATCCAATATCTTTGGTCTAGGTAAATGTTCAACTTCCTACAAATGCAACAAAAAATGCATAAAGGAAAATATTAAATGTGGAAACAGAACAAAAAAATACCTGTATATCTTCCATAAATATTCTAAGGCCTTGTTCAGGATCCTCTGTTAAAACCCATCCGGCAAACTTTAATATTAGATCCATGTGATCTTTGCCGAGATGTTGCAAATACTGTATAGTTCTCTCAGTGCCTTTCAGACTAGAATCGTTTTCCTTTGCGTGTTTCTCCAGTAACTCCAACGCTTTCTTGTGTTGTCCTTTGGTTTGATATAATATAATAAGCTCCGGATATTTCTGATGCATCAATAAAGTTTTCTCAGCTTCTGCCAAATGACAGTGATTCAGTCTAAGTAAAGGAGCTACCAAGGCGTCAGTGGTCTAAAACAAATTCCATTCAATGTTTATTCCGTGTAAACAGCAAGGAACTTCTTCCATGTATAGATTTTTATTATCCTTCTTCTCTTTTACCTGTAAATAACATTTTAAAAGGGTCGTATCTATAATCTTTAGAAGCTGCTCCGTAGCTACAGCGGTTAAATTTTTTTCTCCATTTACTCCATTTTTTTCCTTACTAAGTTCTTTGTCCTTCGCCATTAGCTTATGCCTGACTTCAGTTAAAAAAACTATCAATGCACGTAAGCCCTTTTCTAAATCATGATCTTGCAGCTTTGGCAAACTGGGTGCTGGTTCATTGAGTTCATGAGTATTGGTCGAAGGTGTAACTAAATCTGGAAACAATCGTATCACCTCATATGGATCAGTTCCCAGTTTCAAGAATAAATCCATTGCCTCTTGGAACCGTTTATTATAAAACAGATGATGCGCATACAATGTTTGTATTTTATACGTTTGTTTGGCTTTCTCCTCATCTGTTATGTCTGATAAATTCTAAAATATTAATAATATTGCATATATAAAAAATGAATTATAATTTATGTTAATATTAGATATAAGTAACGTACAGTTAATTTTAATGCCAGCTGAAACTGATTTTGCTCCAGCAAAGTTCTAATTTGTAAAGTAACATCAATTGCATTGACACACCAAATTTGACTAATGGATGCCACAAAGACTCTCCCTTGTTTGCATCGATATATAAGTCTAGCTTTATTTAAATCCTTTATTGTCTGAATATGTAGACATCCTTCCAATGTATACACTTCCAATCTATCGTGCACGATACCAAGTAAGTAAGGATCATCCCATGCTAAAATGTTACAAAAAAATTTGATTAATTATAATTAAAGAGAGAAATAATAATGATAGTCTATTCTGTTGATGATACCTATTGCGTTAGGCGAATCTGACCATTTTACTGGATTGTGTTGAACCAATTCTCCTTTTGTATCCATGATAAATGATTGAGAATCTTTGCCCAGGACAAAAGAACTATCTGATAGTTTCGTAATACTTGGTTCTGGAGATTTACCAGTGGGAAAGAGCTCCTTAGGTTTATCGTTTAGGTCGAAAATCGTATAGGACAATCCACGAAATCCTAATATTAATGTTTCGCCGCACCTCAATAATTAATACAAATTGATCAAAATAGAGGCATATGCTGTAGCATTTCAATAATTGTTCAGAGTGTGTTACCATGACAATTGACGAGGTATATCTGGCACTGTTAACTCAAAATTGTTAAATTCTTCAAACTTCTTTCCCTTCCAATAATACAGCTGTAATTTACGTTTGACAGCGACACATAAACGAACCACAGTGTTCTTTTCTCCTGTTAGGCTTTCGGTCGACTGAATTTCCAGAGTAAACAAAGTGGCACCGCGAGTCTTTGGTAATTGACATATTTGTTGAAAGTTTGGTGAATTTAAATCATGAATGCATACAATGTTATCTAAAATTTTCCTCAATTAGACTGAGAGACAGAGGTAATAATTATCAATTAACTCATGACATCAAGTATACCTGTTAGGATGATCAATAAATTATATTCCGGCACAACATCTATCTGATTGATGCGTTTTTTGTTAAAATTTTTGCTATGACGTAACAATTCTAGTTTATGACTGTCGTCAAACACCACTGGAACATTGTACATAAGAAGATGACCTTCCCTCGTGCCTATTAGTAAGTTGTCATCTAAAACAATTAAAAATTCAATAAATGATCTGTCTATTCACAGGAATTCTCTTGATAATCGCACCACATGATCAACCAAGATTTATCTCTTACCGTAAGCAGCCATAGACTCAATTTGCACAGTGATATTTAATATAGACGTTTCTTCGTAAGCGTCGTGCATCGTTGCGGTTTAAAAAAAAAATATCACACTTTATCAAATGAATTTTTCGAACTGTTGACGATACTCAAGTTGTTGGTTGACAACACATCAGAGTGCATTCTATTGCATTCTCCTACATTCTAAATGATTTTTGACTGGCGTTTGACAACCATCGCACAACAATCACAGAATCGTAGTTGAGAACAGACCTTTAATAGTTTTGAGGATTTAGCTTAACATCGCTTGTCCAATCAGCGTCCCGTGATCTTGCGTGACTTTTGAACGTCACATTCATATATAAAAGTTTCTATTATTTTCCTCTTTTTTTTATTATTCCGGCCTCCTCACAAAAGAGCTGCGTTTCGTAATTTACTGTAAATCTTTTTTGCAAGTTTTTTTTATACCATAATGCATATTTACATCATAAGTCCGTTCGCGTTGCTTGCACTTTTTACACTCAGCATCTTAGCTTTCTCTCTTTTCAACGCCTAAATATATATCTATTTTATTTTAAGTTCAAAATTTTGGGTGATTTCGAACAACGCAATAGACCTCATGATAGTTTAATAATTCAAAGATAGTATATGATAGTAATAGACAGGTGTGGTCATGTGGTGAAAGTTGTAGTTGTATGGGAAGCAGAAAATAAATAGTATTGCGTAAAAAATGATGAAGCGTGTTGCCGTGGTACGTAATTGTAAAAAAGTTATAAAATATAATAAAGAATCTTAAATTTGTATTTCTATCGTCGATTATCTTTTCCAGATTGACATATAGTCTTTTTTTCTTTTTATAGCTGCGATCTATTATACTTTTACAATTATTAAAGTGAAATATATTAAAGTACATAATTACATAATAAATCTTATTAAATGGAGAAAAAGAGATAAGATATACGAAAAGTTTAATTATTACAAACAAGCAGTTGTAATGTTTATTATTTCTAGTTGAATTGTTTGTACTGTTTAGTCTTTCTCTTTTTTCTTTCTTATATCTATACAGTGCTGGGATTTACTTGTACATTTCGACCGATTTTCAATCTTTTCTGATCCCTTACTTCACCAACCCACGCGCAGCCTAAATGTCGATCGGTGCGCGGGTTAATGAAGTAAGGGATAGAAATCAAATTAACAATTGGCCGAAATGTAAATGTAAATGAAATGCAAGTAAATCTCAGCATTGGTCTATAGGTATAACTTTAAACATAATTAAAACATAGCCCGGAAAAAAATATTATATATATGGACATATTTTATATATAATTATATATTATATAATTGTATTGTATATAAAATATGTCAAAATGTTTTATATAATTATATATGAAACAGTTTTTCCCGGGAATTTAACATAATTTTTATTCTTTGGACTTCATACTCTATTTTTCCTTTTTTTTTTCTTTCCAGTAACTAGTTATAAAAAGAAAATAATTATAAAATAATTTTTAACATTACATAGATATATATTTTAGGCATATTATATATTATATATATAGATTAGGCTTTTTTTGTATAATCTTTACAATTTTTTAACTTATGTTATTTAACAAATATAACACAAAAATATCATGGAATACTGATAACCCATGGCATGTAATGGTCAAGTCCCTTAAAATTGACCTGGCATATAATGTATTTATTTTAAATATATAAGTATAAGAATATGTAAAGCATAGATTTAGAAATCTTAATAAATAATATTGCTATTCAGGTAACTGATGGGAACAAGGGTATCGGCTTTGCCATTGTCAAAGCCCTCTGCCAACAATACGATGGAAATGTTTATTTGACAGCTCGCGATACCACCCGCGGCCTGAATGCTGTCAGTGAATTAAAAAAACAAGGTTTGGATCCAAAATTCCATCAATTGGATATCAATGATGATAACAGTGTTAATACATTCCGGGATTATTTGAAAAATACATATGGTGGCCTCGATGTGCTGGTTAACAATGCTGCCATAATGTTTCAAGTAATTAAAGATACATTGCTGTAGTAATTAATAATATAGTAGTTAATAATTAAAGACATTATTGATATAATAAACGCAGTATACGACAAATAGTCATTTCTAATTATTTTCTATTTATTTTCAAAAATGCGATTATTTCTAAAAAGAATAACTTGATTTTAAACAGAGAAAAAATATATTGCTTCCTATTGTTTGGATATAAACTGAATAATAGCTGAATGATTTTGTAAAAATCGAGAAGATATATTGAAATTTACTTATTACAGAGTGATGCTATGGAGCCTTTTGGATTCCAAGCAGAAGAAACTATAAGAGTAAACTACTTCAGCTTGCGTAGAATGTGTACTGCTCTTTATCCATTACTCAGACCGCACGCCCGGGTGGTTCATGTCTCGAGCAGTTTTGGATGTCTATCACAAATTACTGGTGATGACTTAAAAAAGAAATTAACCAATCCAAATTTGACTGAAACAGAATTGGATAAAATCATGCATGAATTTGTCGAGTAAGATTTAACATTTTTTTAAAAACAACTGTATTGATTATACATTAATTTGTAAAGATTTTTCAAGATTTATATTCTTATGTGTGGATTTATTTCCAGTGCTGCAATATCTGGTACGCATTTACAAGTCGGGTGGTCAAATTCAGCATATGCGACGAGTAAAATAGGCGTTAGCGCCTTAGCTGGTATTCACCAATCCATGTTCAATGCGGATCCCCGAGAAGACATTGCGGTAAATGCTGTACATCCTGGTTACGTAGATACTGATGCTACTTTGCATAAGGGAATTTTGACACCAGATCAAGGGGCTGTAGCTCCTGTTTACTGTGCATTGTTGCCGAAAAGTACAGAGATAAAAGGAAAATTTATCTGGTACGATAAGACATTAGCAGATTGGAAGTAAGCATATGTAACATAGGTAAACTGGTTTGTACCGCTCCTATAATGCATAACATGTTCAAATACATAAATAAATTATGTGGATATTAAATAAACTATATCTATAATATAAATTTAATAAAAAAATAAGGTAAAGCTAGAAACATATAAAAAATTATTAAATTATATTAAATAAATAAACAATAAACGAATCGGCCAATCACAGAGAACGTAAAGTAGAGAACGTAAAGTAAGCTGTTTCGCTCACAGTAAGTATATCTTACTGCATATATCATGTTTTTTTTTATGTGTTTCTGGTTTAAGGATAACGAAGAACTCACAAAAAGTACAAAGACTATTTTGTTACAAATGTCTTTTATATTTTAAAATAACTGAATAAAAATATATATTGAATGTTACATTATTACCCACGTTTTTTTAAAAAAATTTGTGAATAACACAAAACGATTCCATATATTATTTCTATACTAAATACAAAATATATGTAGTAATTATAAAGAGAAGAAATGGATTCTTAATATAAGCAATATATTTAATAAAATTATGAGCTATCTTGCTTGAGCATTCATTGCTTCCCTTCGTGCCGCTTCAGTTAAAAGATGGATATCTACCTCATCCACTGGAAGTTGTACATATCGTACCACAGATCCACGGATAAAGCAATTTTTTACCGATAACTGCAATTTAATATACAATTCGTTAATTTTATTTAATTGCACATTAATTTTAATGACTACATTGCATGTCTATCATTGATGATTCAATTTGCATAATCCTTCCATTCATATGAAAAAAAGAGGTTTTAGTCAAATTGATAAACTACGATATTTCGTAGCTTATGAGATGTCGATCAAAAGTTTCCATAGGTATAAAGTCTTCTGTGTTTAAAAAAATGGACAAATTCATTGTAGCACCATTTGAAAATTGTTATTTTGAATCTAATTGTATTAAAAATACTTGCCTTTATCTACAGTTTGTTTTTTAACTATATAAGCAAAAAACCACTTATATAATCACATGTATGTCTATTATTGAGATTCATATCTCAGTATCTGTACAAGGAAAAGGATAGTATGCTTCTAAATATGTATATTGGTATGTACGTATTTGCGTCGGTAGCTACTACATTAGTATATCTGACATTTTTATGTACGATTATATATAAATGTCTACACAATTGAAAAAACAAACTGTACTGTAGATATAAGTACTTTTCAATTTGTTTAAATTTAAAGTAGCAACTTTCAGAAATGTATCCATTTTTTTAAACACAGTTATGCTTTATGAAGACTCTCTTTTAATCACTCTCACAAGCTATAAAAAATGCCTTCCATTATTCATTACCAATATTGAATATCTATAGTATACATACATAACATAAAATATAGATTTTCAGTGCTCAGAGTAAATAACCAAAATATCATAGTTTCAGCTAATTTAATTAAAATCTTTTTCTAAAAACAATTAATGCAAAATCTTTTATATGATAATGTCAATAGTAATTACCATATGAGGATACTTCTCTGAATCTGTTACACTAATGTCAGCCAATTTTATGTTTAGATACTGATCGACAGAATATAACGTGCCGCAGATACTAAAACAAAATATCACATTGCATAATGTGTGTGATGGCCAGTCATACTACACTAAATTTGTACACATTAAAGGCTGTTTTAAATAAAGTATCTAAATGCAGTAACATAATAAAAAAAACTCAACTTTGACAGTAAAATAATACAAGTATATTCTGTTAAATAACATAATATCATCTAATCATTTAAAACATTTATATACTTTTACACTTAACTTTATTAATGTCATGTATAATAGCTTTTAATATTATATTAATTTAATGTAAGGCGGAATTTGCTCACAATCAGTGTTGCTCAAAAAACATAATTATGTGATAATGTCTTACCTGAGATCATTTTTCAATTCGACCACTACGTCCTTTCCGATCAAGGATTTGAAGAAGGAATAAAACAGCTGAAATTAAAAACACGTTCAGTTGAACTTGATACATGCCCAGGTGTTATTCGCATCCAAGAAAAGCCGGATTCTACATGGCTCCTTATTGTGAAAATTTTTATGTTAAGACTTACCATGATAATTCGCGAAAAATCACTGTGATATTCAGTATCGCATACGCTGGTTTACAAATATTTATAATATTAAATGCGTTCCAAACAAATCTCGGCGGTAAAATTATAACCTACATCTATGACCACGAAACATCAATATGAGCAATGCATGAAATAGAATATACATAGAATGGAAACTTTTGAACAATTCGCATAAATATTCAAACAATCATATTATTTGTAACTGCACGACGTATGTACCTTCTGTATTTAAAATAATATCGAAGAAAAAGAGAAAAAATTGAAAATAAAAAAGTTCAATCATAGAAAAAACAAAGTTCGAAGTAAATTATAACATATATTCAGCCTTGTTCATACGGATTCAGGCCGTCGTCCCACAAGCGAAAATTTACAGCAGAACAGAACAGCGCGACCAATCACAACTCTGCAGTCATTACTTAGCTTTCCTTTCTGCGATTGTGATTGATCTTGCTGTTCCGTTCCGCTGTAAATTTCCGCTCATGGGACACACGTGCGGTCTCACATATGATTTTGTATATGCTGTAATTTTATATAATGTATATAACGGAAAAAATCAATCGTTCATGCAACAAAAGCTTAGCATTCTTAACAATATGACTTTAATCTTGACACATAATTTTGTCAAATAGATTCCATACAAGAATTACGCAGGCTGTTTGAATAAAGCTTAAATGTAAACGCATTCACGAAGAAAAACGAAGTTTATATTAGCGTTGTTACATATTAAAATATTTATAGATCTATAAGTAGATATTAAATAAAACAAACGCAATTTTTTGAGATAAATATCTAGTGATTTCTTAATGTGCAATAATATACAATAATATATCACCGCGTGCTGTAATCGATGCCCTTACCAATTGATGCTTCTGCTATAGCTGGCAGGACTTTGGACTTGATCGTCACTGATTAGGGAGCGTTATTTTTTGCAGTTAAATATTGAAGACGAGAGAAAAGAACCCGAAGTTCTGCAATGATGTTTTCCTGCGTCAAGATATTACGGACTACTAGCAAAGTGAGATTCTTCTCGAATTCGTCTTGATTTTTCGTCTTTCATTTGTTTCGTTGATTCCATCCATATGATTCATATATAAGTACATTATGTTCCATTGACTTTGACTTTAAAATTCGTTGTTACGAACGTTTCTTATTTTTATGAAAAGCACAAGATAGAGATAAGTCACTGTTTATAATTGTTAATTACTCCAAATAATTGTATCTTATGAAAAATATAGTCACTTGCAATTCAGTAAATTAGTATACATTGAAAGTTGCTTTATCTAAATAAATTGTGACGTAATGTGCTCAACTTTGACAATGAAATAATACGTGTATATTCTTTCTAAATAACGTGACAATATTATTGTTGATATTTAATCATTTAAAATATTTTTACATTTGCTTTTTGCTAATTTTGATTTTGTGCAGTAGTTTCCAGTATACACTAATCAAGTGTAATGCAAATGTCTGAATTTGTTATTAAACATAGATTTGTAAACATAGAGTTGTTTTCTAATTTTTTTTTAAATTTAATTTAAATGTCTCATAAACTTATTTTCAGTTTGTCTCATTGGCGCGTTACGAATCTACTTTAGTCATTGCAGAGCATAACAATGAAAATCTATTGCCACTCACCTGCAACACATTGACAGCTGCCAAGAAGATCGGCGGCGATATCACAGTATTGGTGGCTGGTACGAAATGCCAAGCAGTTGCGCAGAATGCGTGCAAAGCCAAAGGCGTATCTAAGGTCCTCCTCGCAGACAGCGATGCGTTTAAGGGATTTACTGCAGAATCGTTGACGCCACTTATACTTAAGCTGTACAACGAACACAAATTTACACATATATTAACTGGTGCAAGTGCATTTGGCAAGGCATTACTTCCTCGAGTTAGTTTACAATTTATTCTCTTCTAAGAAATTATACCAACTGTGTCAATTTTATGTTAATTCATAAATCTGTTTAATTGAAGATTGCAGCCAAGTTAGATGTATCACCAATAAGTGATATTATCAACATAAAAGCTTCGGATACCTTTGTACGTACTATATATGCTGGTAATGCCATTCAAACTCTTAAGTCTAAGGATAACATAAAGGTAATATCCGTAAGAGGTACTTCTTTTGAGTTGTTACCTTTGGAAGGTGGAGACGCTAAGTATGAAACTATCCCTACTAACGATTATACTTCAAATCAAGTGCAATACATCAAACAAGAGCTTAGCAAATCCGACAGGCCAGAATTAACATCTGCTAAAGTTGTGATTTCCGGCGGACGTGGAATGAAGTCTGGAGAAAACTTTCAACTGCTGTATACATTGGCAGACAAGCTCAATGCAGCGGTTGGAGCATCCCGTGCCGCGGTTGACGCTGGTTTTGTGCCAAACGATATGCAAGTAGGACAAACCGGGAAAATTGTTGCACCTGTAAGTAAAAAGTTAATTGCTAGAACATACTTTATTGGAATAACTCTCGTCTCAATCTTATTTCAAATACTAATAACTTTATAATTGTGATTTCAGAATCTCTACATAGCAGTTGGAATTTCGGGAGCAATTCAGCATCTTGCTGGAATGAAGGATTCCAAGACGATTGTAGCTATTAACAAGGATCCGGAAGCTCCCATTTTTCAAGTAGCAGATTATGGATTGGTCGCAGATTTATTTAAGGCTGTTCCTGAATTAACGGAGAAGTTATAAATTGCAAACAGGATTCATATAAACTTTATATTTCAAATGATTATTTTTGTATGTTTTATTATATTGTATTATAATGCAGGAATTTTAGAATAAAATTTTTATGATGGTTTTAAAAATCAATTTATAATTTTAATGGTTACAATCTGTTTATATAATGTCAATAAAAATAAGTTGAGTAAAGAGTATTTTCTAATAATAAAAACTACAAAAATTAATAAGATAAAGAGAGGGAAGCCTGATGTACTAATATTACATTATATATATATATAATTACATATTTACGTATGATATATTTAGTAATTACTTTCTTCTTATACAACAAATAAAATGGAAAATAACTTGAACAGAACGTCTAGTGTTGGACGCTGATAACACATCTATTAATTAAGATAAACTGACTTAGGATATATTGACTTTCGACCATTTTGATAAGTGTAAAAAGTGTTTTTCTCATATCTACTATGTTTTCTGTGACAATGTATCAGTAAGGGGCTTCGCACAATAAAAGAACAGGGAATCAGAAACTATTCCACAATACATGATTTCTGATAGGTTGAAATTTTTATTCTCTGTTCTCTGTTTCCCTGTTCCTTTTATTATGCGGAGCCTTTTATACTATTACTTTTGTCTTTATATCTTCTTCTAAATTCATAGTTGCAATACATGTTGATGACGTAGCAAGTTGTGGATACCAATAGGTGCATCCAGAAGCACGAGCGCTTATTGCGCGCCCATTGACATCCACTTGCACCCAATGTTAAACGATGTGGAATGGATTTGAATCGGTTATTATGTGTGTGCTAAAATCAATTATTGTTACGAAATAAAGTGTAATTAAATAAGAAACTAATATACATTAAATACGTTTGCAAAGTGAAAATTTCTTTCTTGCAAGAGTATTTTTAGCTTACAGTAAGTACGTGTCTATCGTTCTACTTAATAAACATTATTAAGGTTATGTTATACACATCTCTGTAAAAAAACGTTTTATAAAACTCAAATTATTTATTGTTACTGGATGTAAATCTCATTTATCAAAAAAATATAATAATTTTATTATTATTTAATTTTAATTTATAGAATATGTGACAAATTTTTATATTTATAGAATATGCAGAATATTCGCCAGTGTGTTAAACAATTAGCATCATATAGCAAATCTGCTATAAACAAGACGAGTATACTATCAAGTGCAACAAATTTTGCACAAACGCCAACATGCAATGTGCATCTTTCTGCAATCTGTAGATTTAATTCTAAATATAAAACTCCGACGAGATTTTTAGATTATAATAAAACTATATTTCCACCTCAAAAACTAGGTGAAGAGAGAAGACCTGCTGTAAGTTATATTGTGTATGTGTACTAAATATTGGTTATTATTAAGTTATTGATTATTTCATCCTTGCACATTGTTTTTTAGTATGTATGTCATATGAAAGCCAATATAAAATACAGTCCGAAGAAAATGTTGTATATCGCAAGCTTTGTACGAGGAATGTCTGTGGACGAAGCTGTAAAACAATTGAGTTTTATGTATAGGAAAGGCGCTGAGATTGCAAAGGAAGTTATATTGGAAGCTCAACGTTTGGCTGTAGAGGAACACAACATTGAATTTAAAAGTAATTTGTGGGTCGGTGAGTATATGAATCAATCAATATTTGAGATTTCTGTTTTATGTATTCTCTCTCTCTCTCTCTCTCTCTCTCTTATGTACTAAACTTTTTAATCATTCGATTAATATCAAGGAAATAATTATTTCTTGTGCAGCGGAATCATTCAGCACCAAAGGTGTTGTAATAAAGGGTATGCGACGACATGCTAGGGCACGTATGGGAATTGTGCATTACAGATATTGCCACTATTTTGTACGCTTGGAAGAAGGATCGCCACCTAAGCACTATTATCTGCCATATCCCAAAACTGGCGAGGAATTGTTAAACGATTGGATGAAGCAGTTGCATATGCGCAAAATACCGAATTCTTTGTAATATTAGAAATATGATTATAATACAATACTGTAAATATATCATTTGAGAACTATTTATAAACCATATATATCAAAGGTATATCTTTCAGCACTTATTTCATTTTTATAGCGATTCATTAATGTGCTATATTTCTCTAAGATTGTAACTTGCAACAGATCTTTCTTCACCTGAATTATTGAAATGGAAATAAAGTCTTGTTATAATCTAGAAAGGGTTTTGTATTTAATCAAATTGGTTTTGTTATATGACGCTAAATACTTAACGCATTGATGAATACTTTGCAATCTGTAAATATAAAAATTTGCTATATATTAACTTCTATAAAATACAAATTATAATTTAATGATGGTAAAATTATTACAATATATTTAACTTAATGTAACGAAAATATAACAAAGTCCAAAAGATTGAGATGTGTAAAACATAAATTAAAATATGTTAATGTTTTATTTTAAATCATACATTGATACAATAATGTGAAATTGTGCTCCATTATATTAATATTGTGTAGCCATAAAGATATTACACAAAAGAAAATGACAGATTTTATTCCTTAAGCAGAAGTGATATCTTTATTTATCATCTGCAAATGTGTTAATTTACAACTTTAGTTTAGTTCTCCTCCAGTGACGCCTTTTTGCATTATACCTAAAAACATACATACAAAATTAGTTTTAATGCACAGACCTTCAATATTTATATAATATTATTACAACAATTTCTAGTAGGTAATCTGTTATTTTTTATTCCATATTTTACCATATGATTGAACTCTAATGTAGCTAAAATATTGCAATGCTGCTGTAATATTAGAATATTCTAAACTTCATGAATATATGCCAAAAGTAATTATCAAGAATTGAAATATTTCTATTTTTTAATATGTTATAAAATAAGTATTTTATAATAATCTCATGTGTTACATCCATAGTAAACAAATCACAATCCACACAACGATAACTTAAATTCTTAAAACAATCTATCAAATTACGAGACCCCCCTTTAAATAAAAGAAAACATTTAATTCTTATTAAATCTTATTCAGATTGATGTTTTAATCTTTGCTCGCAATTTAAAACTATAATTCTATTTTCATTTTGATACAAATACTATATAATAACGTTATAGCAACGCTTGTGCAATTATGTGCAAGGAGAAAACGAGCGACGTTTATAACCAATGCAAGGAATTGAAGCAAGTATCCGTGTGCATCTTAAATATTAAGTAAGCATTTCTTTGTGCCATACAAATATGAAATATATTCGCTAATCAGACATGAACTTACCGGATAGTATTACCGGTCCGCATTCTCACCCATTGAGGAATCGGTCTATTTTGCTTCAACTTTTTCGCAAGCTTTCGCTTGATAATAAATGTCTTGTGAGCCGACTGAAACAAATACACAACAAATTCAGAGTCTATAGATATGATTTTTAAATGTTTTTATATAAAAGAAGATAGGATTGCGAGAAAGTAAATGGATATATCGAGAATATGCATAAACTCACCATCGTGTCTATTTACACTTCTGTGGAAACACGACAAGTGAAAGAGCAAAGCGGTTAAAAAATGAACATGGACATATACGCGGTTAAAATATTTTCTAGAAGGACGTTCGGTACATAGTTATAGATTCCCTTCTGAATGGATCCACCAATCACAGCTGAGAATTCTGCAAAACCATTGACTGTGTTCAGTGGACTCAACAGTTGAGTGAGTGTTCGTTGTTATTGGTATATTCTTTTAGATCATCCAATCAGCATTTTAGATCTGGAAGAATGCATCAATAGCAGCGAGCGCTTCAACTGTTGAGTTTGCTGAACGCAGCTGTTCGAGACTGTAATTCGTAAACATAACGAACTTATAGATGGCACCAAAATTATTTAAAATGTGGCTCCAGGGATAAAGCAAAATTATTCTTTGAATTATTTTTTTATTCTTTTATTTGCTCCAAGGAATTATATAATATTGCGAATAATTTTTTGTTTTTCTTTTGGATTTTCGTGTATTTTTATTGTTAGCTTATTTTTTTTAGCTGAACTTCTTGCACGGTTTATCTTTTCTCTATTTCTGTCCAACATAAAGAGAAAAGGAAGAAAGATAAACCGTGCAAAAATTTTAGCGTTAATTTTAATGTTTATTCTCTTTAGAGCCCGTTGTTCCACTTTTTGGTAAAATTTATCTGTTGGGTAAGCAAGATTACCCAATCACATGCGCGGATTGCCAGATTTACCTAATAAGTAAAATTTACCAAAAGATGGAACAATCGGGCCAGAATGATTTGTTTATACTCTTTCAGAGGAAAAAACGAGCGAAACATATGAGTGCAGAAGTTGCAAATAAAACGAACAGACCCGTGGCCATCGCTCGATAGCCAATCCGCGTTCAACAAGTACCAATAAGAATGACTGTACGATATTCTGATTCAGAAGAGTCGATTGCTCACGGAACATTCGAGTTTTCTGGAGATTATTTTGCAAATTGCTTTGAAATTCTTCCTCGGCGTACATACAGCTGACTCGTTAGTGTGACAAGGAATTGTATTAGCAAGCGATGAATTAATCATTAACAGCGACTATCCTCATCCCGTATCTCATCTCGTCTGCATACAACTCAGTTGTGACGATGCTCGTGACGTAACTAAATTAGTACTGAATTATTATAATGGAGTGTCAGGCCTGAAGGTTCACGCCTCGCGATTTATTTATTATTCTGCCCTGTCACTGTGACCACGAGCGAGCACACTTGAATTTTGGTTCGGGACACCTCGGAGCGACGAACAGTAAAAATGGACAGCAACAAGGACGAAGCGGAGCGATGCATAGAACTCGCAGAGCGATTTATGCGGGAAAGAAAGTACGAGGAAGCCGAAAAATTCATTCGCAAAGCTCAGAAGCTTTATCCGACCAAGAAGGTGGACGGTGAGCCTGAGATTTTCATACAGTCCGTTCAACGCACTATTGACGCGAGAATGTTAATTTTCGCATAATTTTTGCATGTGAATGTACTGCAGACTTTTAAGTTTGCCTATGTTGATTTGTCCCAAGTTTCTTGTATATATATTTTAATTTATTATCTTGTCTATTATTTTTCTTATTTATCTTTTTACATGATGATTAGTTTTATATTTATAGCTGGATTTAGTGAAATCAAAACATCTTTCATTCTGACTATTTTATATTAATATATAAATAATTTTATATTAACTTACATATAATATATTATTTATATATTATGTAAATATTATATATATATATAATATATGTATAATAAAATTATTTTTTTCTCCTTTGTTCCAATACTTGATCTTCTTTCGTTTTTTTATTATTTATATTATAATGAACTTACTCTATTCACGAATTTGTTGTTTTTACATTATCCACATACATTTAGATAAAATAAAACTTATTTTATGCAAGAGTACACACGTTTCTTCTTTTTGTCAGAATGATGATGGTTATAGGAATCAAATAATTATATTTGTAGAACTGTTGGCGGAAGTGACAGTACTCTCAAAGCAGAACCAGAAATCTGAGACGACTGAACCTAATGTTAGAAAGCGGCAAAATGTAGCTAAAGACAGTACATATTCCCAGGGTAACTCAGAGTATTCCAAAGAACAGTTGGAGCATGTAAAGAGGTAGATTGTTTTAATTCAGTAAACTATAATGTATCAGAGCACACTTTCCTTACATTAAAATATCGAAAACTGCAGTCCAATAGAAGAAAAGAAGATACTTATTGTTCTAATTCTTTCCTATTTATGGTAGTAAAATAACATTAGCTAATCAGCGAATGTCTAACAAAGAAAACAATATTTTCTTTGCATTAAAGTGTCATTGTCTAGGAATTGAAACATTTCGATGACTTGCTCCAGTGTATTATAGAGTTCACTGTTTAAAACAATGCAGTTATAATATTTGTGGAATATATATTGTTGTTCATTTATACAATTATAACAATGATACAATTTGGAAAACAAAGTTTTCTAAAAAAAAATGAGTTTGAATGAACTGAATCATTAAAATTTTTTAATATTAATCTCAATATTAAGTAAAATTAAGTAAAAAATTTCAATATTTTTAGTTATATTGTAGTAAATGAGCAATATTTATTTTTTCACGTTTAATCTATATTTTACTTCTTCAATTATCTGTTAATTATTTTAATTATTTTAATTATTATAGTTTAATTATTTTAATTATTTTGTATAAATGATTTAGACGAATTCTTTATTATTGTAGGATAAAGAAATGCAAGGATTATTATGAGATTTTAGGAGTCAGTAAAGATGCTACAGACAGCGACATTAAAAAAGCTTACAAGAAATTAGCACTTCAATTACATCCTGATAAAAATAAAGCACCAGGTGCTGCCGAAGCATTTAAAGGTACATCAAAATATATTTAAAAAATAGAGTTGCGAATATATTTACATGTAAAAAATTGTACAGCTATTGGCAATGCTGTTGCTATTCTTACCGATACGGAGAAACGGAAACAATACGATACATACGGTCCTGAAGAAGAACGAGTGCAGAATGCACACAACCGCCAAGGCCATACACATTACAATTATACCCGTGGATTTGAAGGTAAAAGGTTTAAGAGGATTAAGGAGATTCTCGCACTATTTCCTAATCAATGGATAGTTTGTTCCTAAGAATATGTATAATAATTAAAATAATGGAGTAAAAAGATTACTAATAATATCTTATGCCATTATACATAATTATTGTTAATTTTATATGGTACGGTAAAAGTCAATTGAATTTTTTTCTACATTATTATTGATATTAATTTTTGTATTGCATGTATATTATAGACTCATCATATTTCATCAAACGTGAGAATCTCTTTAAGAGAAAAACTGTATATTCCTGGGATGCGTTCCAACTTGACTCTGTCAACTCTGAGTATCTTTTATCTTTATTCAACATTTGATGACCAACAAGGATAACAATACTCAAGTTGACAGAATTGAATTTTAATCCTGCGTGTGAACTGTAGGTCTTTTAAGGAATAGTCAAAATTTTAAGTAGCTATAACATTACAATTTACTGTTCCAGTATGCTACTGCTATTGTAGGCAGGAAAGTGCATTTGAATCCAAATTTGATTGGTTATTTCCAATATGCTATCCATTATGCGCAACGTTTCACATTGTCTTATTACATCATACGTCTGGTTTTTATTCGTGCACTAGGACTGTCTTTTTCGCTTTCGCCAATTATTAAGTATATACCTATCTCACTTTAAGTCCCAAAAATGTTTCAAACACTAGTTCAGCTTTCAACCACAAAAAAAAAACAGATCCCATGAATCCTATGATACTAAACAATTAGACTATAACAATTTTTGTCAATTTGCTACGATCCTGTGAACAAATGAGTCGTGAGCGTTTCGTAGTTTACACTACGTTAGCAAAAAATATATAACAATATCGAAATCCGGCAAGGAAATTGAACGACTTTTATGATCAAAAGCGAAATATTTTATTATATTCTGAAGCAAAGCTTTAGAAAGTGAGGCAGATAGAGCACTATATAGAAGTAGATACAATGTTAGTAAAAAATAGCGGTTCACACGCAGAGATATACATTGTATAAGTTTATGCATCGAAACATAATCTGTCTCTTTTTTAGCCGATATCACAGCCGAAGAACTATTCAACATGTTTTTTGGCGTTGGTTTTCCACAACAAGAATTTTATATGCGTCGGCCAGGTGGAAGGTGGATGCGGCAGACAGACGCGCAAACGCAACATGCTCATTCTCAGGTAGAGCACAAAAAAATTTGAGTTGTTAGCATAATTTCTAACAATAAGTACTTTCTTAATTTTTTTCATTTATGATGTAACATTTTTCAGCAAATAAATGGATATACCACATTTCTTCAGATGTTACCAGTTCTGTTACTAATAATGTTAACCATGATGAGTAGCTTTTTCATATCCGATCCAGTATATAGTCTACATGCAAGTTCGTAAGTATGATCAACGAATAATTAATACAAATGTAGATTTTTATGGGATAAACTTACGTAATGATTTTTTCCTTACTTATAGGAAATATTCTGTGGCCAGAACAACTCAGGTTTTGAAAGTGCCATATTATGTTAAGGAGAACTTTCATAGTGAATATCAAGGCAGTTTACGTAGGTTAGAAATTTCAATTGAAGAAGAGTTTGTGAGTAACTTGAGACAAACTTGCGCCAGAGAGAAAAATTACAGTACGTATATTTGCTTTATTTATCTCTTTCAATATATTTATTATATTTTTCATTAATACTATGATGCTAATTAACATAAATTTCTTGTAAACGTTCTGAAAATTTTAAATTTATTTTCTATGTAATCTAATAGGGGACAGTATAATGTGGAAAGCCCGTAATTTGGGAGATCAAGATCTGTTCTTTAAAGCTAAAAATCTTGAAACACCTTCGTGTAAAAAACTACAAGACCTGCAAGCATAATATGTAAAACATGTCAACTAAAAATAGAAGTTTTGCGTGTTGTAGATAGATGTATAATATATTTACACATGTATAATTATCTTTGGGTGTATAATGAAAATTTGTTATAAAAAAATACAA